ACACACACACACACACACACATACCAACACTCACACGTACACACATACACACACAGACACACACGCAACACAGACAGACAGACACACACACATACACACACACACACACACACACACATCCGCTCAGATACAGGCTAATGCTGTAGATAACAGTATCTTCCTAAGCGTGTATGTTGTGGAATGTAACGTCCACGCGATACTCTCGACGGTCTTGACGATACAAATCAGCCTCGATACTTCGAAGTGTGATGTCACTATTCGTACTATTTGAATACCATTATGCAAATGTGTGTAGGGAGTATTTAAAATAACAAATCCATTTGGGTGGTTGGCGGGTGCTCTGGCATGGTTTGCTCATTCTTTCCTACCAAACATCTCGCGTCCTTATCTCTCCTTTTTTTGGGGGGTATGTTACTCTCTTGTAACAAAATCTATTCTTCTGCACTTATATGACATTATTGTGTTGCAAGTGCCGTAAAACTCTAACTAAAAGTTGATAAAAGCCATCCACAACATTCCCTATTCACAGAGTATTGCTCTACGTGTGTATTCACCTTAATAGTTTTAGATATGATACGAGTCGGTGGCCTGGTGGTTAGGCTCTCGGACTTGCAACCGGAAGGTCGTGGGTTTGAATCCCACCACCAACCCATCGTTGTGTCCGTGGGAAAGGCACTTCCCACGAATATTCCTCACTTCACCCAGGTGGGAAAGGGTACCCATCTATAGACCGCGATTGTCAGTTTGATCATATTTGAGTTCGGGTAATCCGCAGCTTGCACTGTAGGCTTCTCTGGAAGCCGAGATCTCGAATGTTTCTGTGAGTTCTAGTGTCTTCTGGGGTAACAACCGTTGAAAAGCGCATACGGCATGTTATAGACCGTGGATATGCGCTATATAAAGGCAAATATACTTATGAATTCTTCGACGAGTTGAGAGATATATATATATGAGACAAAAATCCATTATCTGTTCAAGAAAATCACAAACAATATTCGAATGGCTCTGTCGCGCTTCGAATAGCTGTGAATAGCGCAAAATTCGCGAATGTTAAATAGCGCAGTCGAATAGGCACATCTCCAACTTTCAGCAGCTACTCGGCTCCGGAGACAACTAATTAAACAATAATTATAACATCAGAGTTTCAAAAGATCTGGGTGTGAGATATGGTGCTACTGCAGGGTGGCCAGAAGTAACTGGAAAGCAAAAGATTAACAACGAGGTGTGTCGGATTCTCTACACAAGACAAAACCTGTTTTTGATTTGTTTTTGTTTTTAAAGGAAACGTAGAAAAATACAATACTTTGAACGTACAAAATGCCCTCAGACAATTTTGAAAGACATTTCTTGGTTTTAGTTTGATTAAGGTTGTATCAGACTTTTTGTGTGGTTTGCTTTTTTGTTTGGGGTTGTTTTCGGGGGGGGGGGGGAGGGGTTGGGTTTGTCCTTTTTAATAAAAAAAACCCCCAAAAAAAACACCTTTTATTTTTAAGGAGAATGTCCTATATTTTTTTCAGCTGTCCTTCAATCGGTAGTAAAATGTGAGCGGTAGTCAAGACCTTTTCCTGAGGGTGCCGACCTTTCTTATCGTTAGAAACAGACACAGAAAAATGTGTCACGACACGGTGGAATCAGGCGCTCGTAAATTTTTGTGCATGTGGAGTTATTGATATCATATTAAAGCTTGTTCAGTTGTCTTGCTCTCAGTAGAAAAAAGGCTCATCTATCTTGAATAAAGGTAAAGATACTTAAGATTGAAGAAGATTGGGTTGCCCGGTTTCAAAGGTAGAATTAGCGATAAAATGGCTGCCAAAGTTTGGTTATTTCCATAGCTTGATAGTCCGTGGAAACTAAAAATGTACATTTTGTGTACTTTTAATCAATGTTTTTCAGTAAAACCCGGGCTAAAATGTGCTCTTAACTGGAAAATAATAGTGTTGAGCCAAAAAGCAAAAATTCGATAAAAATTGCCAGACCAGCAGAAATATGTCTGTTTTGTTAATTTCATTGTTTAGACGAGCGCCTGATTTCTGCACGATGCCTCACATATATATCGTATCGCTGTAGATCCGCGCGTGTCATTCTCGGCGTAACCAGCGCCCACTTTTAACATTTCCCTACCTCGCACCCACAATGAGCTATAGGCTCAATTCCGTCGAAAATAAAAAAGGAAACTTTAATGTGATGGCTGGAAAAGGCAGGGGGGAAATGCCAGGTCCTGTTATTAAATTACCCAGCCCAGCCGTGTAGCGTTGCATCAGTGTTTGCCAACCGGACCGATATCGCCCGTTAGTGGACGGTTTGGTCATTTTGGTCTGCACTGGGGATCAGCCACGGTAGAGATGGTTTCAAGCAGTATTTAATGCCCCTCTGGAAAATACATACAATTGTGGCGACCGAGTTGTGGTTCATAAGACGCATGCTACGTATCCCATGGACAGCTAGAAAAACAAATGAAGAAGTCTTGATTGAAGCAAATTGCAGTAGACAGTTTATGACGAATATAAGAAAGCGACAGGCAAATTTCTTTGGACATACAATGCAAAAAGAAGCATTGGAGAATATTGTAACAACAGGCAAATTTGATGGAAAGAGAGGCAGAGGCAGACAGAGGGAAAAGATACTGGACAAGACGACAACATGGCATGGAGCAGCAAGAACAACAGACACCATTGCTGCAACGCAAGACAGAGTGAAGTGGAGGTCCATGATCGCCCACACCAGTCGGCAAGGCACAGGATGATGATGATGATGATGATGATGATGATGATGATGATGATGATGATGATGATGATGATGATGATGATGATGATGATGATGATGAGAAATACATGCAG